GATTGAAAGAAGGATTAAAAAAACTCTCTTCTTCCAAAAAACCATTATCAGGAGAGGGTATAGCTCAGTGGTAGAGTACGTGCTTACAGTGCACAAGGTTCTGGGTTCAATCTGGGTTCTTGGTTTAGTACCTCCACTGAAAATAATAATAATAATATATTAATAATAATTTTAAAGTACATAAATAAACCTAAGTACTTCCCCCCAAAATTTAAATTTTTAAAAAAATTTTTAAAAATATGAAAAAATTTGCTTCAAAAAATTAGGAATTATCTGATCTTCCTTTATTCTCCTTCTCATTCTCAGTGTTATCACGTGTCACTCCTCTTTCTCCTAAGGTGGCAGTACTGTTTTCCCAAAGGTGGTGTGTCTTAGAGTAGAAATACCCATTTAATATATACCATTTGTTTGTAGAATCCTTATTACTGATTACATTGAAATCCCAAGATTTTTTTTCATAGTAACTTTACATATTTATGTCACACATCTTGAAATCTGAGGCTCTTCTCATAAAATTTTTTAACTATGTGTCTGGAGCTCCTGAACAGTCCCCTAATTCCTGTCCATAAGATTGACAGAATTAACTAAATTCCTGTAACTTAAAAACTAATACTTCTGACTTCTACATCCTAACAGGAAGGGCTCTATGTTTAGACAATAAGATAGTTATCAAAGTCAATCACAAAATTAAGCAATGAAAAGGATACAATCTGTAGTACTAGTACTGAACTGACAGGATTAGGGATGGATGAAAATTAATCTTACAATGTACATATTCAGGGTTTGAGCTCAAATATGTTACAGTCTTGTGTGTAAAGTAGAAACAGGTCTATATTGTAGACTTTTTTCCTGCTTCTGTTTGCACATGCGCACCAAATGGAAGAGTGGATAAGAAAAGATCTCATGACCCTAAGTAAGTGTTCTTCCACAAGAGCAAGGAGCTGGCCTAACAAGGTCTTGATTTGAGTGCTGTGTCTATTTGTGTTCAAGTTTATTAATCATGTTGTCCAAACATTCTAGATCCTTACTGATTTTTTGGTGCCTTTGGTTCTAGCTATTACTGAAAAAGGAATGTGAAAATCTTCCTCTATGATTATGGATTTGTCTGTTTCTCCTTGTAATTCTGTTAATTTTGCTGTCATATTTTAAGGTCATGTTTATGGTGCATATACAAATCTAGAAGCATTTTCTTTCCCAAGGGAATTGAATATTTTTAATATTATGAAGTGACCTTCTATTTGTGGCAAAGATTTTGCCTTAAAGTTTATTTTTTCTATTCTTAACATTGCTACAGTGGCTTTCTTTTGGTTAGCACTTGCATGATATAACTTTACTTTCAACCTGTGTGTGTGTGTATTTGTATATATGATATAATTCCTCCACCCCTTTCCTTTCAACCTTTGCATATCCTTTATTTTCAGATGCACATCCATTTAGACTGGTGTCCG